ATGTCTTCAGACATGCAGCAGGATGCTGTCGATTGTGCAACACAAACCTTAGAAAAGTACAATATTGAAAAAGATATTGCCGCATATATCAAGAAAAGAGTTTGACACGAAGTACAACCCAATATGGCACTGCATCGGCAGCTACGTCACACATGAAACCAAACACTTTATTTACTTCTATTTGGGTCAAGTTGCCATCTTGGCCTTCAAATTTGGATAGAACCTGTTTTATACACAATAATGAACTATTATATAAAGCCTTGTACAATAAATAAATAGCCCCGGAAATGTGTGGTTTGGTGACAGTTGGACACAATATGGAACTTGAGGATGCAGATCTCTGACCTGTTTATTTATGTAAATTATGAACACTCTGTAGTCTGACACTGGTCTCCAAAAACCAGCTTGAATGAACTGAAGCTCCATGACCCGTCCTCTCCTTGTTTGTTTGTGATTGATGCAGGACGTGGGCTTGTGCTTTTTAAGCTGTTTTAATTGAGTGGATGAGATGTGTTTGCTTGTCTGAGAATCTCTCCATGAATCCTGTACACAGTTGTTGAGTATGCTTGCAGAATGTGAGCACATCGTGGTTTGTGTTCAATAAATATCAATGTATTTCAAAAAAAAAAAAAAAAAAAAATCATCATATATATATATATATATATATATATATATATATATATATATATATAGAGAGAGAGAGAGAGAGAGAGAGAGAAAAGAGAGAGAGAGAGAGAGTGACTCACGTTCATACACAGAATTATACAATTAGAAAAGGTCACACACTTATAGAGGATCTCACACTTACAGAGGATCTTACACTAAGAGGATCTCATACTTACAGAGGATCTCACACTTACAGAGGATCTCACACTTACAGAGGATCTCACACTTATAGAGAATTGCACACTTACAATCTCACTATTACAGAGGATCTCACACTTACAGAGGATCTCACACTTACAGAGGATCTCACACTTACAGAGGATCTCACACTTACAGAGGATCTCACACTTACAGAGGATCTCACACTTACATAGGATCTCACTCTTACAGAGAATCTGACACTTACAGAGGATCTCACACATAGAAAGGATACGACACTTATAGGGAATCTCATACTTTTAGAGGATCTCACATTTAGAAAATATGTCACACTTACCGAGTATTTCACACTTAGAGATGTTCCTACACTTACAGAGAATTTCACACTTACATGGGATCTCACACTTTCAGAGGATCTCACACTTACATGGGATCTCACACTTACAGCGGTTCTCACACTTACAAAGAATCTCACACTTACATATTTTGTTCTTTATTCTCTAAAGTTGAGCCCCGTAACCCACAAATGGTCAACATCACATTATCTGATTCTCTGACTGCCTGTTTTCCCTCTCTTACCAGCTACACAACAATGTGACGACCTCCGCGACATCACAAGACGCTTCCTGTATAGGACACAGATAGCAACATTAAAAACGCTGAGTTTTATCTCCACATCAAAAAGAGACTATATACTTTGATCATGTGATCAAAAGAGAAAACTGGAGTATATCACGACAATAGAAAGATTTGAATAGAGGAGATTCAGAGGGAGACAGAGAGAAAAGACGCTAGACGGTGTGACATCATGGCATGGAGGATCATCTGTATCAGAGTTAATTGAAAGTGCAAAGAAGGTTCTGGATAGACATGCCTACCAACGTCACACGGCAAAGACTTTAAAAATAACAATGGCCACATATAACTAGAAGGACCTTAAATTGGAACCTACAAGGGCAAAGAAAAATGGCAGACCAAAGAAAACATGGAAAAAAGAAGTTTAAAAAATGGGGAGGACGCGGAGTGAACTGCATGGAAAAGCAAAAGATAACACGACCTGGTTTGGGGGCTATGCTTCGGTCGGTTAGTTGCGTAGCCTTTACAGGACGTTGCCAAACCAACCCCAACAGCCCCTGACTGTTGTGCGGTTTTTCTAGGCAATTTACGTCCAGTAGTTTGCCATTGCCTCTGGACGGTCGGCTTTCTTGATGCCACTGCCGAAACCAACGCAAGGAGCATGGCTCGCAGCTGGGATCGAACACGTCATCCCGGCATTACGAAGCTTTCGCATCGTCACTAAGTGATAAGGAACACAAAAAGAAGGCTCCATAAACGAATACCTCGACGTTACCTGAAGTCCCGGGGAGGGGGTGGGGTGGTAAAGGTGTGATGGAAATAATTCTTCGTGTTTTCTCAGTCTCTCAAGAGTTTTAACTCGAAAGTGGGAAAAAAAAATTATATTTGTGTTATTTTTGCTGCGTAGATGTTGCTTTTTTTTTTTTTTTTTTTCGTCAAATAATTAAAATTTACAACAACCTCTCAGGTCAATCCTCCGCATTATCAGATAACATTGCCAGTGTAAATCATCATCATCAAGTGCCTTGCCTACTGGGGTGGGCGATCATGCCTCGCCACAATCTGCGATCCGCAGCTGTGTGTATTAGTTTGTGTACTGACACCCCTCCATGCTATGACGAAAGACTGTCAAGAATCTTCTCACTTTGTCTTCCTCTGTCTCTCTTTCCACATATCTTTACAGTGGTCAAAACATGTTCGATAACATGGCCAAAAAATGATGTCTGTCTCCGATGTTTGTGATAAGTTGTCTTCGAGCTCTCGCCTCTTTCAAAATATTTGGGTTGCTCTTGTTAGCTGTCCAAGGAATTCTAAGGATTCTTCTGTCAAAGCACATCTCCGAGGCCTCAATATATTGTTCGGCTTGTTTATTATTTCTCCAGGCTTCACAGCCGTATGTGTCTATATACCTGCTATATGCCTGAAATTTGTTTTTGCTTTATAAAGAGTTGGTGTTGAAACTGCTGATTGGTCTATACAGATATGAATCTGTTATTGTATTCAGGATGGGCCACTGAGGTAAATTACTATGGTGGCTCTCCTGCACATAATCACACACACACACACACACACACACACACACACACATATATATATAAATATATAATATATATATATATATATATATATATATATATATGTTTATGATGTAGAGTATGTATATGTTTATATATATGCGCGTGTGTGTGTGTGTGTGTTTGTACTTGTATGCCCGTTCACATAGTTTCACAGCTGACCAAGATAAATTAGATACCTCCGAAAAATTGAACCCCGGATGATTAAGACACAGTCTATGCTACAAAAAGAAATTACTTCAACGTTTAAACTCGCGTGCATGCCGCTGTTGTTTCAGATGATTATTGTTTTAACTACGGCCTCTATGATTTCAACTCGTACATCAAATGCTTTCCTGTCAATCCTCTGTATTATCAAATGACATACACAGTGTCTATATATCAGCGTTATGCCTGCAATTGTGATTTGAACAGCTTGTTTTGTAACTACCAATGTTCTATTTGCATCCTTATGTTCTTCATGCACGGTGCTGGGGCGATAAAGACACTTTTATCCTGAATGGCTGTGTGTGTGTGTGTGTGGGTGTGGTGTTTGTGTATTGTGTATGTGTGTTGGGAGGGAGGGAGTGTGTCTCATTGTTGTGTGTGTGTGCTCGCATGCGCATCTGTTTGTTCTTATGTGTATCTTGTGTTTGTGTCTCGTGAGGGTGTTCTATGTCTGTAGTGTCTGTGTATATGTGTTATGTGTGTATATGTCCTGCGTATGTGTGCTGTGTGGTGTACATTTGCTAGGTCTGTGTATATGTGTTATGTCTGTATTTTGTGTATGTGAGTAAGTGGTGTAGCTGTATGTGTTGTGTCTGTGTGTCTGTGTTATGTGTGTATGAATGTGTGGTATGTGTATGTTTGTGTGTATGGTATGCTTGTATGTTGCGTCAACGTGTTTTGTGTCTGTGTGTTTTGGGTCTGTGTGTGTTTTGTTACTGTGTGTGTGTTTTGTTACTGTGTGTGACGTGTCTGTGTTATTGTGTCTGCGAGTCTATATGTGCTTGTGTGTATATGTTGTCTAAGTGTATGTACTGTGCTTGTGTCTGTGCACGTTATGTTAGTTTGTTGTGTCTCTGTGTGCTGTTGTTGGTGTGTGCTGTGTTTGTGTGTATTTGTTGCGTCTGTGTGTATGTAGTGTATCTATGTTGTATATGTGTGTATGTGTTGGGTCGGCGTGTGCTGTGTTTGTGTGTATGTGGTGTGTCTTTTTGTATGTGGTGTGCCAATGGCATGAGTTTTGTGTGTGTGTGCTTGAAGTGTGTGAATTGTGAGTATGTTTGTTTTTGTTGCGTCTGTGTGTATTTAGTGTGTCTGTGTGTATCTGTTGTATCTGTGCGTATGTGTTGTGTCTGTGGGTGCTCTCTTTGTGTGTATGTGTAGCGTCTGTGTGTAAGTGCTATGTCTGAGTGCATGTGTTGTGCCAGTGGATGCTGCGTTTGTGTGTGTGGTGTGTGTATGTGTGTGTGCGTATGTGTGGTGTGTGTGTGTATGTGTGGTGTGTGTATGTGTGTGTGTGTGTGTGTGTGGTGTGTGTATGTGTTTGTGTGTGTGGTGTGTGTATGTGTATGTGTGTGTGTGTGGTGTGTGTATGTGTGGTGTGTGTATGTGTGGTGTGTGTATGTGTGTGTGTATGTGTGGTGTGTGTATGTGTGTGTGGTGTGTGTATGTGTGGTGTGTGTATGTGTGTGTGGTGTGTGTATGTGTGGTGTGTGTATGTGTGTGTGTGTGGTGTGTGTATGTGTGTGTGTGTGTTTGTGTGTGTGGTGTGTGTATGTGTGGTGTGTGTATGTGTGGTGTGTGTATGTGTGGTGTGTGTATGTGTGGATTGTGTATGTGTGTTGGTGTGTGTGTGGAGTGTGTGTTATGTGCGATGTGTTTGTGTGTGTGTGATGTGTTTGTGTGTGTGGTGTGTGTATGTGTGGTGTGTGTATGTGTGTGTGTGTACCTAAAGCATGAGTTGTGTGTGGTGTGTGTATGTGTGGTGTGTGTATGTGTGTGTGTGTTTGTGTGTTTGTGTGTGTGGTGTGTGTATGTGTGGTGTGTGTATGTGTGTGTACCTAAAGCATGAGTTGTGTGTGTGTGTATGTGTGGTGTGTGTATGTGTGTGTGTGTACCTAAAGCATGAGTTGTGTGTGTGGGTGTTTGTGTGTGTGTGTGAATTGTGTCTATGTGTGTTTTGCTTCTATGTTTTTGTGTTATGTATGTGTCGTGTCCCTGTATTGTGGGTGCGTGCATCTGCTTTTTTGTCTGGGTATGT